GAGTGGCTTAAATGACATTTATTTATACATTTGTGGAGCCTCCTACAAATGGTGGAATAATTTACAAGCTAATGGTATCCACGAGCTAGTGGTCTTTATTATTAGTTCTAACTTAAAGAGATAAATCTCTCTTTGAAAGGGGGAGTGGGAATACATAAACATAAACCTCTATACTTTACTTGGCATGCATTTAATTTGTTGCTTGAATAACTCAACCTGAGTATATTTTAAATATTCATATCTTATTATTGTTTATTTTGATGACTCATGCCACAGACATTTATATTTAATTCTAAATTATTGTACCACTTTAATGTTGATGCATCTCATGTATTATTGATTATTAATGAACTAATGGTATCTTGTCAAGTTCTATGTTTAGAATGAATTCTTACAAGTCTCATGAGTTTGTTAACTCCTTGGCTTGGAAGACTCAGAAATATGTTATCAGTTCATCAGAAAATACTATTGGCCTTTGAGCCCATTAGCTATTGGCTTTTTTACCTCATTCGATCTACAAGAGCTTGCGTCCATCAACTATCAGCTTCTCAGCTCATTTGTTCTATGAAAGCTCAGTTCAATCTTAACTCTGCAAAGCACAACCTTCAAAGGGGTTTGATTTTATGCTATGACTTGAGAGACTAAGATTTTCTTATGGGCATCTCAAGGTGGGATTCTGTGGTAGGCATCTCCAGCTACCAAAATTGGCATTCAATCGACTCTACAAAAACTAGTTTTGATCCTAGCTCTATAAAGCATGACTCTCAAAAGCCTTACTTCCATTATTATGGCTCATGAGATTGCAAATCGTCACTTCCGAGTCGTCATTTTCAAGTCATCATTCTTAGCTACAACCATAACACATGACTATGGGTCATGCATCTTTACTTTAGCTACGGCCACAGTAACCCCGAGTCACACATTTTATTTCAGCTCCAACCACATGACTTCAATCATTACTTTTATTTCGGCTCCGGCTCTTATGACTCCGGTCATTGCTTATTACCTTGGCTCCGGCCACATGACTCCGGTCATTACTTATGACCTCAGTTTCGGCCACATGACTCCGGTCATTACTTATTATTTCGGCTCCGGCCGCTATGACTCCGGTCATCATTATTTAACTCGACTCTAGCCACAGTGACCCCGTGTCACCTATTTTACTTCGGCTCCGGCCATAGTGACTACGTGTCACCTATTTTACTTCGGCTCC